TATAATTTAAAAACAAAGATTATTCATAATAAAATATAAACAAACTTTGTAAACATTTTTTTAGTACATAAATTTCGATGTAAATTTTTATTTTGTGTGATACCAATCTTGAGTTCTTTTTTTAGACAATACTATCTAATATAGATGTTATAATAAGTGCTTAATGCTTATTAATTGTATTATAATTTATAAATTATAACTGTTTAAAATATGTGACTTACCTAGCACCTATAGGTACTTATAATATAGTAGRTACAATAAACACTTACTCGTATGCAGTTATGCTATGAATATAGATAATTAATTATAAATTACTCTACTCAAATCTATTGTAAAATAATTTTAATAATTTAAATTTAATAGAATTATATAATATTATTACATGTTTATTTYATAATGTATGTAAGAATATTCTTTAAATTTTGATGATTTTAAAATAAAAATTGTTAGTTAGGTAGGCACAATCATTTTAAAATCAAAAATTGATATCAACTGTWTTTTATTTTATTTTATAAATGTGGAAAAAGAATAAATATTTTTGAACTACAATTTTTACATAAAATAATATTTTATCTAAAAAAATGTAGAAGATAAATATAAAAAATATTTGTTATATTTTCCATGATATAGCCAAGGCTTAAAATTTAAATTGGAGGTTCCCATTCTTCTATTTCTATAATAGTAGCTCCCGAAAAGTGTCGTTTAATCAAATTTTTTAAGTAAAACTTGAGTAAAATTAATGTAAATTAGTGATAAAAATAAAATTTTTAGATTTTTTTCATTTTATTCAATAAACTGTACTTACTTAATACATAGATATTGGAATAATGTTTATGGTTTCATATTTGAATATAGCTAATTGATAGTTGATACATTGTGGCACAGTTATTATATACGCATCTTAACAGAAGGTGTTTTCTCAGTCGAAGACACGGGTAAAATAGCATGTACCATACCATTATTAGTTATTAGTGTTATTACTAATGTTTATCTATATCTTATAGATTTTACATGTTTTTATTTTAAAACGATTTATATAATATTATGAATACAAAAATGAATTATATTAGTACGTATAACTCATTTTTAAATAAAAATATGAAGAAAAACTGTAATCGTGAGTTTATGTTCTTTATTGTGTCATTTATTTCTCTAAGATACGCGTGTGTAAGACAAAGTTGACACATTCGGGTACGGCGTCCTATAAAACAGTCTAAAACAACAATTTTTCTTAAAATTATCTTTTGTATAATTTATAAAATTTACATTTTATTCATTATGTTCAAAAGTATTTGTTAAAAAAAAAATAATAATAAGCTTTATGAATAAGTAGCACTTCAAAAGTAGTAATATAGAACTACATGCACCACACTACTGAAACTCCACGTTGTATAATAYAAAAAAAATTGTGTTAGAGCTTGAATATACATGAAATTTAGATGATTAATATTATTTTATTTTAAATTAAAATGTCTTATTGTCATTGCAAGTTTACAAAATTAAACAGTTTATAAACACATGCGATATACGAGTAGATAGTATAGGTATTTACGTATTACAAAAATACATACCTAATCATAAATAAGTACAACGTACAACATGGAACGCTCAACCTTTCTAAGTCAGAATCCCTGGATAGACCTAGATATAGCGTGGTAAACTTATGAACCTATATGTTATAATGTGTTTTTTCATTTATCAATGAACATTTGAGAAAGATTTTGTTTATGAAATCAATATAGATGTACAACAGCCGTCGCCAAATAACTTGGCATAGCGGCCATTGCACAACAATGGTTCTCATTTTTTTTTTTAAATTGAATACACCTATAAAATATAATATAGTCACGGTCGCAAACTAATTAATTTCATAAACTAATGCAAGCCATGTTATCGATTTGTATCTGGATGATATTATTTGTATACAC